GTTAATGTTAATCTAACAGCTACGGCGATCCACTAGCACCCCCCCATTTTGCATTTTGAAATGCTCCCGATTTCTGAGGTCTAAAGGTTGGCAAGTATGGTGTGGACGGTCGGAGCATATATAACGTTAGCTTAGCCAAGCTACATTTAGAAAACACTCATTTTAAAAGGTTTTTCGCCTGCCGTCTGTCTGCAGACTTGTCAAAGCATTAATTCATGGTTTTTACCATCCGGTATCAGTATGTTGTTACTTCGGCATCATTTTGAAACGTGTATTACAATTAAATCACGGTCAAATATGTTCATCTTGTTGTAGTTGTAGCCCCCTTGCCAGCGATTCTCTCTGACCATACAGCAGTCGAGAGTGTTTACGTCACTAGTTTAGCATATTCAGCCCGGTGGTCAGACTACCCCTAGTGGTTTGGCCCGGCCCGCTTAAACCGTGCTACGTGCTGCAGTGGAAAAGCGCCATTAATGAGAAAGATTGGGGTTAGTACAGGGTTGTTTACCCTGCACCCTCATTCCAGGCTAAAATAAACGAAGATGTACAAAATCGAAGCAGACAAAGTGAGTAGCCCTAAAAGACTGATGATGTGGCTGCTGTGCATACCAGTAAGGCTCAAAGTTGGACACAAAGCAAGTCTACATGTGCAACACGGCAACACATGCTGGCCTTATGTTCAGGAGACTGTCTGTCTTCAATGCACATTGTTATACCCTTTCTCTCTCACACACAGATGAATCACAGAGACAGACAAAGAGAAAAAAACCTTCATTTTCCTTTAAATCTGGTCAAGATCTATCTGGCGTGCAGATGGATACAGTAAACCAGAGACATGAAACAAACACCCTGAGCTGAGAAGCACATGAGGACTTTAACCCCTTTTCTACCAAAATAAGTTCTGTTCGAGTTCCATGCTGGAGCTGGTTTGGTTCGTAGTTGGTTTAACTTGAAAACAACTTAACATATTTCTATTCCACCGACCGGAGCCCAAAAGGTGCCACGTCATGATGTCACCAATTACGCTTTTCTCACAAAAACAACAAAGCAGTCTTCGTTGGAGTTGTGCTCATCTTACGCTTTTACTAACCAACCCGATTGAATTGCATTTGTCCAAGAACTGCTAACAGTATGTAATAGTAGTTTTAATTGACACTGTTTGGCAACTTTGACACTGTATATAAAGGACTTTATAATGTGGACATTCTCTCATTACAACATGAATGATGTTAGACTCCACTAAAGCTAGTCCGACAAATTAATAGCAGAGATTTATAGTCAATAACTGAACTCCTTTACTGTAACAATGATTGTACAATGTACTTTATGCAAGCAGCACATTTATTGTCAATGTTAAACATTGTGAGCCTTCATAAAGTGCATGAGATCATATTACATAGGATTATTTAGACCAAAGACTTTACATCTGATTTATTAATCAGCTGAGTAACACAAAACAAATGTGTTTGACTGCTGTTCTCTTGATCCCAATGCCACACAGCACCATGTGAAGACATTAGTCATCAACAGGAAGCTAATTCTAATAGCTCCCAAGTTGTGGTTTGGAAGGACACATGTCGTGACAATTAACTAATGGCTGGAGGAAGCGGGTTACTGGCTACACATTGCCCGGCCTGATATATGGCTGCCTGATAAACACTGTGGTTGGAAAACCAAGTGTCAGCCGGATATTCGTTTGAAGTGTGTTTGTATTGTGTTTTTTTTTTTTAAGATAAAAGAGACAGGTGCCTTTGTTGACAGGGGTTGGAGCAATGTGTAAAAAAGAAGCTGCCATTTTGTGTCATTATATCCTCTTTAATATCGGTTCCCATTGAAAAAGACACGTACAGTATTTACAGGAAAGGCAAATCTCCATTACCTGCTAGTTTAATGTTACCTTGAGGTAGGAGGTTAAAAGACTGCTGGCCTTTGATGAAATGGAGAAACACTTAAGCCCTAGAAACCAAGGGTCTTTGATCACTTAACCTGATCTTCTTATATTTAAAAACAAGACCCGAGGAACAAGCATGGGAAAAGGCTACACCTCCTTTGATGATCTTAGCCGGGTTCACATGTGCACCTCCAGCTGAGGGAACATCACAATGTAATATTATAAATCACGCAGCCAGGACAGGACCGTAAAATAACTTTGTGTGAGTAGGTGAGGCCAAATACATCCAGAATTCAACTTCAGATTTTGCTATATTAACTACTGTAGGCATACAACATTTTTATATGAACAATTAATCAATTAGTGTACTGTAAAATAGGTTTCTCACAGTGACAAACCCATAGTGAATGATGACCTCAATCTCAAATTCTCCTCAAATAAGCTATCATTTAAGAAATAAATATATATATAAATATGGATGGTGGATAAAGGCGGAAACCGGTGCTAAGAAGAGAGGAACAATGTAACCTTACCTTCATGGGGTTTATACAAAAATCATTCCAGAAATCCTGCACTTGAGTCACAAATTGAATAACTTTAAATTCAACATGACAGAATCAAGAAAGACTTGCAACTTGCCTTGGACTTGGACCAAAGAGTTTGATTTCACTTGGACATGAGCCAGTTGTCTGAAAAATAATTGAAAACTACAGTGTGCCTCAAGTCAATTTATTTCCCATAATTTTTTCTAAATTAATTTAAGGTAATGCTACTCATTCCAAGCAAAGTTATACCAAATACCAAAATATCAAAGACAATTACATTTGTGTACAAAAGCATACCCTAACATAAAAAAAATGTGCAGATCGAGATTGATCAATATTGCATTATGACTTGTTTAGAAACTAAAACTCAGAGTTTGAGCGCTGACTTGGGAGCTGTCAATCAGGACTTGTGATTTGACACAGGCGATAGGTCTAAATACTTAGTCTTACCAATTTTTGGCTATTATTAGGGCATGTCCAAATCTGACACATATGTCAGTTCTGACTGAATCTGATAACACCTAGTTTAAGGAGCACACGTTTAGAGGCCATAATGCTAGCAGATTACATTTTCATTACTATAGTTGAAATGCAAGAAAATCGTCTGCAACTCCTCATTTAAAAAACTTTCATTCATACATTATTTGTAGAACATGTAATATGTTGTCTCCCAGGCAAAAATACAAAAGCAATGAGAATCTGTAGTTTCACTATGATAATTTGATCCAAGAATTCAGTTTGTTCTCAGCACAAGCGTTTTGATTTCACAATAAAATGCTGTGAAGGCGCTTAGTGAAACACCCCATCACATTCATACTACAGTATTTTACAAATATCTATCATTAAATGTTTTTTGTGAGTAATGGCTCCAAAGTGAACTGTCTACTCAAGCGTTTGCCAGAACTGCCAGATGGCCAGTCTGGGTCTGGCTGCAGCTCTGCATTTTTTCTCCGATATATATTACGTCTGAATCACTGACCTACATGGCAGTGGGAGGAATGGTGGAAAGATAAACCTTCTTTTTTTTATTCAAAGCGGAGAAAAAACAGTCTGTGTCCAAGTTTAATGATGATGACAGTTTGTCTTTTATTTGAGCAGAAAAAAACAACCCACAGTTTAAAGAGGCTTTTGATGTTCCTCAGCCTTTCCGACTTGTACCATTACATTTAACACTGAGTACAACTTGGCATAGAACTTTTGTTTTGTTTCTGCCTTTTTCTGTGTTGTGTTCAGTTTAATAAACTTCCATGAAAAGGCATATGCTGATCCATCATACATTTTATGTAATATATGTTGCTCGTTATTACTGTAATTTACCTCCAGTGGAGGTACTTTAAGTCTTTATTATTCCGTCGGAGTTAAATGGACTCCTAAGTGTCATGAAGGCTGTTTGGGTGGGTACAGAAGATGAAACGGTTTGCCTTGAGCAAAGAGAGGCAGACAGAGTCAGAGAGGTAGGCTGATCTTGAATGAAACAGGCTTTGCCGTCTCACAGTTTTAGTTTCTTCTTCTTTTACCACAATCCTGACTTCTAATAGCTGCAGTTGCACAACCAGCATTCTAACCCACCTATATGTTTCCAAAATCCAAATAACTTGACATATGTTACATGATATATGGTAACTGTGTTAATATAGCACTCATCATTTGAATGAATATTACATTGCATTACATTACATGACACTTGTTAGACGCTTTTATCCAAAGCGACACATACATGCAATACTGTGGACAATCCCCACAGGAGCAATTGGGGGTGAAGTGTGTTGCC